TTGCCAGTTCATTAATATTATTTTAGGTCTGGTCTCTATACAATGTGTTACCCTCAGCGTCCCAGAGCTTGCACCTTTTCTTTCTTACCCTCAGTGTTGCAGAGCAGGTTGCTTTCCTGTGCGACCCCCTTTATCCATGGCCCTGCTCCCTTCCTTATATTGAATTATCTGTTTTGCATTTGTTATTCTTTTCTGTTCTTGCATATAATGCACTTTTTTTCTATAATCTGTGTGTACCTTACGGGCTTCTACCTGTAGTGGTTGCAGGAGTGGTCACCACTCATTCTTAACCAAACCTTGAAACCTTTTCTCCCTTGCTGCGCTGGTCTCGCTGTGGTTAGCAATGCCTCAATGGCTGAGATCGTCAATCTTGATGCTCTCAGTCAACTCAATACTTCCCATAGGAAAGCAGTGGGAGGATATTGCACATGTGTGGCAAAATGCCACACTGAGCCAATCAGCATCTCCTTAAAGAGATGCATTGAATCAGTGCTGGGGAACGTTCAGTGTCTCCATGCATGTCTGATTGTCCCCCATCTATGGAGTCAGGTGAAACTCCACCTCAGTGAAGAGTCAGTCTTTATGAAGAGGAACCACTCTATAGAAGCTCAGAGCAGTCCAGTGCTTGGTTCTTCTGACACTTTGGCTAAAGACCTGCCATTCTATCCGTCCTGTACTCCTCCCACTTGCATACCTGTTCCCAGGTCCAACCTTGCTCCCAGTAGTATGTGATTTCCTGACCATGTTTATCCATGTTTTTCCACCTCGCTTCCACTTTATTTTTTTTATTTATTTTATTTACAACTCACACGTGCCAACACAGAACTCATAGGATCCTGACCACATTTCCAGGTTCCCTAGAGGTTGTGCTATTTTGTAAGGGTATGCTATCTTGCTGCTATTGGGTTTCAGACCCCGACCGATCTTTAAGCTCTATGATATCTAGTTGAATTATACATTTCTATGATTAAAGGGACTATCCAACTGCTTATCATAGTCATCATGTTGCTCGCAAGCCATTTCTGCTAACAGCTAAATCAGTGGTGCCCAGACTGCATCTCTTACCCACTGATGACATTTGAGTAAGAACTGCATACCCAATTTAGCCGTGCAAGTACTTGTACAGTACAAATACACACTATATGCTTGTGCAATGCACACAAACCTCTAAAAAAACTCCAGTAGATGCATTGCGTCAAGCTATCGTGGATTTGGTCATGCAATAATCTTTTGAAAAAAGAAATGTTCTTCTACTGCTGATGCCTTGAACTAACAACTAAGCCATTGTAAAATTAACCACTTTAATGGTCACATTGATAGAATTAAAAAAGTCAGAAGATTTTAAATTGTACTGATGTTCTGCAATGTAACTTGTGGGATAAACAGTTAGGGTATCAGATCAATAGGCAATTGTTTGGAATATTGTAGGCGTTCAAAATTCAAAAGGGTATGGTTGATGTAACTATATGGTTACAAGACATCTTTCTCCTCTTTTTTGTTTTTAATTCATTTATGCAACCATAATTCAATGTGATTTCAGTCAATTAAAAGGAAAACATTGAAAAATACTTCATTTTTCGAAAATGTGGTATGTTTGGCCCCCGTGTTTAATATCTCCCAACAAAGCAAAATAGTTACAGAAAAAGTATATAATGTATCCATTACAGTAGGATCATCTCCTCCTTATTTCCTGCCTAGTGAATATGAAAACATATCCATAGTCAATGTTACAAATTTGCAATGTCAAAATTATTTGAAGGTTACTTTGACTAAATTTGTGTTTCTCTGCTTGTTTTGGAATTAATAACAGACTAAAAACAATTTTTTTTAAAAAGAATATCTTTTATAAAGCAGACGTATTATGAAGCTTGTCACATGGACATTTTCAGAACTACACACGGTGGTCATGTAATACACAGTTTCCCCCCAATCTTTGCCATCACCCAACAGACCAGCTCTGTTACTGAGTTATGAAACAGGGGTTATGTAATTTAAGCCTATCAATGAGCACTAAAACAGCCTCTTTTTTTTTTCATAATCCTTTATTTTTGAGTGCAGTGGCAATACACCAGATATCAATGACATATAGTATAATCATACACATGACATGTCAGGATGTACTGCACATATTTTAGATATTAGACAAGAAATATGGTAACCTGGCTGAGTATATGCATGTGGGGCAAGCCAGTTGCTTGAAAAGTGAAAATATAGGAAGTATAGATATACATAGCTAGGTGAACAAGAGGAAATGACCACAAAAGCACTATTGGACTTTTAATTATGCTTTTGTTTTTTATCTGACCTGTTTTTTGGAATAAATTCTATACTTTATAGATATTTTAAGTATTTATTATTCCTGAATATACTACTTGAAAACCTTCCCTATCATCTGGATTGGGGTTTGGATCTCCCCTTAAGGATCCTACTGACATCCAGACCAGAGCCAGGTTATTTTATGGCTCTACTTTTGTGAGTGTGCTATTTAAAGATACCGGATTTACTCTGTATTTAAAAAAAATTATCTGCACTATTGTGTTTCCCTCTGTTTCTGTTTCAGCTTTGTCAGCTGTATTTTGAAGAGAGGGATGTATTTTACAGCTCCACCTATTTTTGTGTATAGTATTATATGTATGTGTGAAGGTGAAGGGGATACCTCACAGGTGTTTGAGCTGTTTACACTACTCTGGGACATACTTTTCCTTATTGTTTGTTGACATAATCCAAAAACACTTCACAAATGTATATATTTTTAGAAAGTAAATTCCCTAGCATATTGAAGAGAAATTTGACACTTTTCAATTAGCCATTTTATCTCCAATGGCAGGGGGTAGGAGGGGTAGTAACAGGGAGTAGGGGGATGGAGCGGCGGTGAGAGGGGGTAGGGGGATGGAGGGGCAGTAACAGGGGGTAGGGGCAGTAACAGGGGGTGGGCGGATGGAGGGGCTGTGACAAGGGATAGGGGGGATAGAGGGGCAGTAACGGGGTAGAAGGGTGGAGAGGCTGTGACAGTGGGTAGGTGGGGCTGTGACAGGGGGTAGGAGGGGCTGTGACAGGGGGTAGGGGGGTGGAGAGGCATAGACAGGGAGTAGGGAGGATGGAGGGACAGTAACAGGGGGTAGGGGGGGATGGAGGGGCAGTAACAAGGGGTTGGGTGGTCGGAGGGGCAGTAACAGGGGGTGGGCGGATGAATTCAAAAGGGACATCTTTCTCCTCTTTTTTGTTTTTTATTCATTTATGCAACCATAATTCAATGTGATTTCAGTCAATTAAAAGGAAAACATTTAAAAATAGTTCGTAACAGGGGGTGGGGGGGAATGGAGGAGCAGTAACAGGGGGTAAGGGGGTAATAACAGGAGGTAGGGGGATGGAGGGGCAGTGACAGGGGTAGGAGGGGTAGTAACAAGGAGTAGGGGGATGGAGCGGCAGTGACAGGGGGTAGGTGGGATGGAGGGGCAGTAACAGGGGTAAGGGGGGTAGTAACAGGGGATAGGGGAGTAGTAACGGGGGTAGGGGATCTGTGAAAGGGGATAGGAGTGGCTGTGACATGGGCTGGGGGTGGAGAGGCAGTGACAGGGGTAGGGGATGGATGGACAGTAATGGGGGTAGGTGGGATGGAGGGCAGTAACAGGGGGTAGGGACAGTAACATATGGTGGGGCAGTAAACCGGGGTCGGGGGTAGAGGGCAGTAACAGGGAAGGGGTGGAGGGTTAGTAACAGGGGGCAAGGGGGGTAGTAACAGGGGTAGGGGGGTAGTAACAGGGAGTAGGGGGGGTGGAGGGGCTCTTCTAGCATTTAGTAAAGGCCAAAGAAGATACTTGTCCATATCAGTTTTTAGTCATTTAAAAATTGTAATCTCTACTGCTAAATTATATGAAAAATCTGTCATGCTTGTTTTCTTTGATCCCACATAGTACTTGGCATGGTGCTACATGCATGGTCCAAGACAATCACAATCTGCACTATGCCAATTGGCAGGGAGCATGCAGGGAGACCAATTAGATACCTTTTTATATATTGTGGGTATCCTCACTAGCAGAATACTCATTACTACAATGATGTCATCAACATACTATAGCGGAGCACAGGAGTACAGCCACAGTAATTCCATAGTTGTGTGTAGAGTTCACTTTGAGTACTGCACACAAATAACCAGTTTGGACCCAGAAGACTAATGAAATATATGCATTATTGTGCTGGAAATGGGTTAAATAAATAGCCGTAGATAGCCCATGAAGCCAACAAAAAAAAATCATTCATAGCTTATTTCCAGCTGTTTTATGATCTGTAATGCCAAATACACAAGATTTGAATTTCAAAGTGGTTATTTTTTTTATTGCAGGTAAACACTTATCGATGAGATCACTGAATATAGGGAAATAAGCACTGATAGGTAAGAGACCAATTCCCCAAAAGATCAGACACTCATTTACTGTAAGTAAATTGTTTGAACTCCACACCACAAGAAGCAGGGCTCTGACAGTCTCCTGTTCTGTTGCTAAATATTAATTTATATTGCAAAGTTTGCACAAAAAACAACCTAGACCAAATAAAGTAATAACATAATGACCGACATAAATTACAAGGTGGATTAGAACAATTTTGGGACTTTATTCTTATTTTGCAATATACCCTATGTAGTGGAACCTTTAGCATTCTACAGATCCCGCAGTATAGATGCATGGAATGTTAATGAGGAGATTCAAGGAAGATAGATGTAGAAAAAAAACAAAACAAAAGAAAAGGATCAGACCACAAAAGAGGAGAAGAAAGAGAAAAAGGGGTTTAGGTCAAATTACACATCATACATAGATTATACCCTTATAGGCAAAAAAATGCTCCCATTTGAAGTGTCTATATTTAGTATGAATACAAAAAAAAAACCTGAAACGTTGTGCTGTAGATTTGTGAAAATGCTGCTCTAACTTTATATAGTTTACTATCAACCTTATAAAATTTTTACTGTAATTAATCTGATAATTTCTTTATTTTTATTTTTAGCGTAGTATTATTTAATTCTTCATTAAACTGCATTGAGAAAGGAAATCAAATGCAGCATTCAAAAACACTGGTTTGCAAAGCAGTCACGCCTAAGAGCATACAAAATGCACTTTTATTCAATGGGAAATAGAGAAACGTCAACAGGCAGCTTGGCTGATGGTAGGCTACAAGTATTGGTGGAGGGTTAGTTCAGCAATTGTAGCCTATTATTGACGTTAAAATATTGGCGGCTGTCGTGGATGTCCACTTTTACATTAGCCAAGCTGTAGCAAAGGGGAAGGGCCTTAGATATCAGGAGAGTTTGGCTTACATCAAACTTTTTGAAGAAAATCTTTTGCCTAAATATTACAATACAGTTTTAAAGTTACTGCAAATGTTGGGGAGGCGGAGTCTAACTGCGGAGTCGTGCGGCCGCAACTGACACAAGCTCCGGCCAAACGGAGAGAACCTGGAGGAAAAAATGGTGGCTACCAAGCCCAAACTCCCCCGATGGTGCACCAACCACGTCGGGGGTGGCCCAACAGAACCCAACGACACCACCCCAGGGTCTGTCGGAGCCGGTACAGCAGAGATCCGAATGCGGCCTATTGGGACTAAAGCGGGGCAGAGGCGGCCGCTCTCCTCAGCACAAGAACCCACAAGCGACCTCATCTCAGCCAACCCCCCCTTCCCTCCACTGGCACTGTGGGGGATATCCCGGTCCCCACAGGACACACAGACCTGAAGGGACAACTAGCAGCCCAGCTGTAGACAAAGGCAGTGCAACAGACCCAACAAGGTCAGCCAAAATGGCCGCCCAGCTCCTTGACGGCAGAGCACCCGCAACTATAGAAATCTTTGACTGTCTATGCGCAGGCCTCAGGGAAGCTCTACTCAGCCGAGGGGCAACTCACCACCAAGCTGAACTAATGGTGGCCTCGTGGATACCACGCCACCTCACAGGTGCTCCACTGGTCTAGACTGTTCCGAGACTTGGCACCAGCAGAACACCCAAATTTGATAACACCCCCCAGGCCATTGCGGACTTGCCATGACAACGCTACATATGAAGAAAAGAGCTCCTGTTGGTTTAAGGTTCAGTTAACCATGAATAGATCCCAGTGGTCTACCTCACAATATATAGTTCACACTTGCAAAACATGAAACCTTACATGTCTAGATAACCCAGCGATGTAACCTTCAGCTAAGTGATAGATCTAGCTAAACCCTGCAAAGCACAAACCTTGCAGGTCTAGATAACCCTGCGATGTTAATTTCAGTTATGTGACAATTCTTGCTAAAACCCTGCAAAGCCTACACCTTGCATGTCTAGATAACCCTGGGATGTTATTTTTAGCTAGGGAACAGATCTAGCTACACCATGCAAAGCATAAACCTTACATATCCGTATAACTCAGCGATGTTAATTTCGGATAAGTGACAGAACTAGCGAGAAGACCCTTTATTGTTTATTCATCAATCTACCCTTACAGATAAAATTTGTGCTTGATTTCACATGTACCTCTATGTTCAAATGTCAATACCGCGTTGGAGGAATGCCTTTGGGGTACCTCACAACTGTTTGTTATTAGCTTATGCACTCCAAAAATAAAGAATAAAAAAAAAGTTACTGCAAATGTTTAGTGAATAAATCTCAAAACAATCCCAGATATTGAATGAAAAGCATTGGCTATGGGGACAGGAAAACCTGCATATTTGATGTGCTAGTTGTTATGCTAAAGCTAGAAATAATTTAATCTATATAGCAATTTTAAACGTCATGTTTGTTTAAACAAGTGGTTAAAGCTTGTCAACTGTACAGCACAACAGAAAATATGTAAGTTAAGTAAACAAACTAAAAATAATAATAGGTAAGCTTATGGAAATAGTGATCCATATACTTTCTTTAATATGAAGCTGGTTCATTTTATTGGTCTGCATAGCTACAGTATCATTACATACATACATGTTAAGCTATGAATACCTTCTATGTCTGGTAAACAAAACAAGTGGTTATCCCAGCATAACCTAGCTGCTGTCAATGTAATCTACCCACACAGATACTGTCTTGCTTCATGCAGTCATCTGGTTTGTGCTTATCTAATCAGGGTTGGAATGTTGTGCAACACAGCTATAAGATTGGGACAAACTGAGTTGAATATAGTACAAGCGTGTATATTTTCTCCAGAATCTGACTGTTCTAATCAAACTGTAAGAATTTATGAACAAAATATTAAGTAAATAAATATAATCTGTTTTATACCCAACTATAACCTAGCTCCTTTACTACAGGCTGTTTTGTATTTTTGGGGAAAAGTTTAATTTTTACATTTTTGGAATGTCTTCTCTAATTTATCTGGTACTTATATAGCGCACAAACTGGTAGTTTTGGAGTATACCACAGATTGTGGAAGATATTTGCATAGAACCACAAACAAAGTTTGGGATACGGCTGTATAATCTATGGAGAGAACATACAAAAAAATAAAATAGTATAATACAGTATATACAGTGGATCGTGCGCTTTAAATGAATGCACTCACAAGATTCATTTAAAGCGCACGATCCACTGTATATACTGTATTACACTATTTTGTTTTTTTGTATGTTCTCTCCATAGATTATACAGCCGTAACCCAAAATTTGTTTGTGGTTCTATGCATATGTAAAGATCGTTTGTTGTGGATAACGATCTTGGGAGGCTGCATACTAATCGAAGTTAAGTAACTTACACTATCAGAGCACTGAGTTTGTGGTGTTTATGTTTGTTTTGTTGTGGAAGACATTTGTCTGCCGCAATATTTAAAAGGAAAAGGTCACTTCTCTAAAAATTATACCTTTGAAAACAAGAATTCTGAGGGGATTCTATGGCACCTAATCCCAAAGCCTCTGAGTTTATAAAGAGAAATCCTCTTCATCCACACAAATAGTTATACGCTGTAGGTGCTGCGCTACACCAACCATTTGACATATCTGCCCCATAATCCTCAATTTACACTCATTGTATATACTATATCTGTAATCAGATGGCAACGCTAATGGAAAACAGGTGTGAAAATGTATATTACAGGGCTGCCTTATAAGAGCAACTGGGTCACCTTTATTTTTTACATTCAATAGCAATGAGCAAGATCCTATTGTATAGGCCAATCCTACCCACCATCAAGTGGCCAATCACAACTGTGTATAGAGAAACATGCCACTAGATCAACAAAATCTCAAGTTTACTGTCAGCCACCCAAGCACAAAAGGGTAGCATGGTAACACATATCTATTCTGGCAAGAAGCATGCAAATGTCAACCCATCCTTTTCTCTTCTGCAATACCATGCCATTGGACTGGACTAGTGCACCTCACACTGCATTACAACAGAATGATGGCGGAGTGAGGTTGCAGCCCAAACTATCTTTCCTGACCCCGTGATGTACCTCCCCTGCCTGCCACACACTTCTAAATCTAGACAGCGGCCCAGAACAAGTGACCACATTAAGCATTCAAATTAAGCTATGATATATAAAATTACAAGAGGATTAAAATAATGTATAAAAGACTGGCAACACTGGGCAAAACAAATTTGCTTAAGTTTACAGATCAATTACCATCAGAGCCTTCAATTTTTCTTAGTATCTCCAGGCTTCCTCATCTGTAAGAGCTTGTATCATTTTCCACCTCAATTGTATTCACATATACACAAAAATCTTCATAGGTGCCTATTAAGAGGAGATGACTCAATTGTTTAACATACACACTGGGTGTTCCTCATGTGCTGCTTTTCAGAACAACCTGCAGTCACAGTTCCGGATGTAATCTCCTTTTTTTTTTGTTTTATTAAAAACAAAATTAAAATGAAAAACCCAAGTCACGTAAAAATCAAATAGGAAAAGTAGGATGACAAACAACCTTAAATAAAACATTCTCTAGGGATAGTCTAAGCTATTTAACTTTTTCATCACAATGAAGTGGCTATAGTGCCTGGAGTCGCCTGGTGGAATTTTCAATTTCAAAATGTTTTTAATGGTTGAATGCAAGAGTCTCCAACAACCTGTCGCTTCTGTTCTGCTCAGGATAATGAGAAAGCTATACCATGAGCAACAATAGGCAATGGTGATTGAGAGTGTCAGCTGACTGATTTCAGCCTATCACAGCTGTCCATACCTGATATGAGTTACTTTGGTTAAGGAAGAGTATATTCTCTGGCTATACCTTCTGTGGGGGCTGGGCTGTGGGTTGCCAGGGATCCTTATTCATTGTTAATATTTTTTGAATGAAGGGACAGTGATAAGAGACTCCAGGCGCTATTACCAATTCAACTAATATGAACAAAGTCCAAAGGATTGTACCGCTGTACGCTATCCACACTAGAGCTAGTTTAGCTCGACTACACGTGAGTAGGACTACCATAGATCTCTTCTTCCTGCTATCCAACCTTTTTACTAGACATATTTGCACCATTATCTTCTTCTCTCTTTACATACGAATCCTGGAAAGCTGTCTCCATTTGATCCACACAGAGAATATCCCTCTACATAGGCCGTTGATGCCCCATCAGGCTCCACTAAAGAGTTTGAATATTACTTTGGACTTGGTTTGAATATTACTTTGGACTTTGTTCATATTAGCTGGACTACAGCCAGCTTTGGCGCAACCTTCATTTGTCTTGTTTTGTGTATTACCTTTGTCTATAGGGCTAAGAGTGAGTCTTATCCCAAGGTTTGCTGCCTTCTACTTTCAATAATTATAGTATTGGTTTATTTTAGCTCTGTTCCCTTTATTTTGTACATTCCCATTTGCTATAACCAATTCAGTGATATGAAATGGTTATAGTACCTACCGTGTCCCTTAGAGTAAAGAGAGGAAAGCAAACAAAAGAATATGCAGGAAAAAGTAAAATTCACATCCATCACCATGGAACCAGAGTGTTGGAAGATCTACAAATATATAAAAAAAAATGAGAAGGCATGTAATATTGAAAAAGGCTAGAGAGGTAACTCACCAGGCTGGGTATATAAACTGACTTTTATATGTTAACTTCTCAATATGCTAGTTAATGTGCTTTATTTGTATTAACCCTTTCTCTGTGTGTTGCAAATTTTCTTTGGTCTAAGATGACATGTCACTGGCTGTGAGTCGCTGCCAAGGGCTCCAAAATTTCAAAAAGATAATATATTTCCTGTCTCTGTGTTGTGTATTGCTGGCATGAACTGCAGACAAGCTAGCCAGGTGTAGAGGAAAACTGCAGAATAAAATGGCATTAGACAACTAATATATATGGGTTAAAATGATGCAATGCTGTGAAAATTTGCCAGACTGAAAACTCTACCTAAAAGTTTCCTTTGTGCATTGCAAAGCAAGCGGAATATGACAATATAAAACATATCTGGTGAATGGTTATTTGACTAACACAAACACAGTATTTTTTTCTTTGTTTCTTTGGATACTAGAGACAAAGTATCACTATTTAACTTTTGTCAAGTCAAAGGAGCCCTATAGAGTTAGAAACATCCCCCCCCCCCCTTCCCCCCACCACCACCTTTGCTAACCCCCTCCCCCTAGAGATGTAAAGGGTTAAAAAAAAAGTTTTCACTTACCTGATTCCAACGCTGTTGTCCCTTGGTTCTGGGTCGGGCTTCTTCTCCCACATAATCAGCCAATGGTAGAACCTAATGTATATATGCGGAGTGAGCCTGTAAACATTGCAGTTTCTCTAAAACTTAGATTAAAAACACAACTTGTAGCAGATGACCCTCATTTGTAATGTATCATATAAAGGCAAAAACTGTTTTTAAAAAGGATTGCATCTTTATATGGTAGTATTATTGCAACAGCAGTAATGTGCAGTGTGTTTGGGATGTCACAGAAATAGCAGTAATGTGCAGTGTGTATGGGATGTTACAGAGATAGTAGTAATGCGCAGTGTGTATGGGATGTTACAGAGATAGTAGTAATGCGCAGTGTGTATGGGGTGTTACAGAGATAGCAGTAATGTGCAGTGTGTATGGGATGTCACAGAGATAGCAGTAATGCGTAGTGTGTATGGGGATGTTACAGAGATATCAGTAATGTGCAGTGTGTATGGGGTGTTACAGAGATAGCAGTAATGCGCAGTGTGTATGGGGTGTTACAGAGATAGCAGTAATGCGCAGTGTGTATGGGGTGTTACAGAGATAGCAGTAATGCACAGTGTGTATGGGGTGTTACAGAGATAGCAGTAATGCGCAGTGTGTATGGGATGTTACAGAGATATCAGTAATGCGCAGTGTGTATGGGATGTTACAGAGATAGCAGTAATGTGCAGTGTGTATGGGGATGTTACAGAAATAGCAGTAATGTGCAGTGTGTATGGGGGGTTACAGAGATAGCAGTAATGCGCAGTGTGTATGGGGTGTTACAGAGATAGCAGTAATGCGCAGTGTGTATGGGATGTTACAGAGATATCAGTAATGCGCAGTGTGTATGGGGTGTTACAGAGATAGCAGTAATGCGCAGTGTGTATGGGGTGTTACAGAGATATCAGTAATGCGCAGTGTGTATGGGGTGTTACAGAGATAGCAGTAATGCGCAATGCGCAATGTGTATGGGATGTCACAGAGATAGCAGTAATGCGCAGTGTGTATGGGGTGTTACAGAGATAGCAGTAATGCGCAGTGTGTATGGGGTGTTACAGAGATATCAGTAATGCGCAGTGTGTATGGGGTGTTACAGAGATAGCAGTAATGCGCAGTGTGTATGGGATGTTACAGAGATAGCAGTAATGCGCAGTGTGTATGGGGTGTTACAGAGATAGCAGTAATGCGCAGTGTGTATGGGATGTTACAGAGATAGCAGTAATGCGCAGTGTGTATGGGGTGTTACAGAGATAGCAGTAATGTGCAGTGTGTATGGGATGTTACAGAGATAGCAGTAATGCGCAGTGTGTATGGGGTGTTACAGAGATAGCAGTAATGCGCAGTGTGTATTTAAGCTTCAGTGGTCTGGGTGCCTATAGTGGTCCTTTAAATTTGTAAACCCACATAATTTTTCATCTGTGTGAGCATCTTTTTGGGTTAGTGGGTTTAGAAGAGGTTAAACATTTCAAACTATTGCTTTATGTAAGGGTATAGCTGTGTTATCAATCTATACAGTTTCTGTCTATTAGATTATGTAGGGCATAAACAGGTCAAGTTCACTTCTATGTTATCAGACTTGAGTTAATCAAATATCTGCAGTTTTTTTTACAGGAACTGTTATTTTGCAGATAGTGGCATATTATCATAACTAACTAAATGTTAGTTTTTAGTTGTGCATATTTTTTATAACACAAAACTTTTTTTTATTTTTGTGTGCGCATGTATTCCATTTGCAATAAATGCAAGGTCAGCCTTGGACACAATGCAATTAAGTATTCTTCTATTAAAACCGTGCAAAACCTCACAGGAAAATGATACCCCGAGTGCAATTGGGTAGAAATCTGCTATAATCATCCAGAAATGCAGCAAATCTCTATATTTAAGAAATTTGCCTCAATATTGATGTAGCTACTGTCATCTACACAGGGAGAGGTACACAATTCTAAGCTGTTTGATATGCTCTTTCAATTGTTTATCATAAATAGGACAATTAAACTCACAGACATAGATACACATTCTTCTTTACCTATGTTTGAAAAACAATAAAACTTTTAAATGTAAAAATTTTTTTAAAAAAGATACACATTCTTAGATATATGCACACAGATATACTCTCCCAGCACATTCTCAGTTATATTCCCAAACAAACACTGTGACACATATTTACAAACACACATAAATACACACTGCTAGACACATGCAAATATTCACACACAGATATACACCGTTAAACATACGTTTTCAAGGCATTTTGTGCCATGAACACATACACATACAAATACACATTGCAACACATATACATACTCATGCAGACACTCACACAGATACAAATTGCCACACAGATGCAGAGTGCCATACACAGACACAATGATACACAGATACATTTCTACACATACAGAATGACAAACACAAAGTCATATTTTTTGTTTGCATATTTATTTATCCCTCCGGGAGGCATAGCCAACCTAACAAAGCTAGTGGGTATGTGGCAGTCTCCTGGATAAATATTTTGCCGTGCTAGAAAACGCTTGTGCTGTACTCTCGCATAGCATCAGCGTTTTTCAGCCAGTCAGGTTATTAGGACAGCCGTTTAGCATGCGGCAGCCCTGATCACCTCACTTTAAAATGGCAACGTTGATGGAGGACTCTACATCTATGTCTGCCACATATATGGTGGATGTCTCTGCAAGAGACAGCCCCATCAACATTAGAAAGCTTCATAAGAGAGCTTTCCTTGGGAGGGACCTATCTTTTTACTTCTGAGGAGGATATGGTCCCAGTCTAATCCTGTAAAAGAGATAAGAAGGGTTGTCTTTTCTGCTGAGGAACATGAATTTGGTCCCTCTTTTCCTAGATCTCATTTGAGTAGTCGACAAATTAAAGGGACAGTACATCCTAAAACTAAATATGTGTTTCCCTCATTTGAGGTTTCTAAGTACATTTTACAGAAAAGGAAAAAGACCCGTTTGAGTGCAGTCAGTCCCTCACCATCCTCCTCAAGAGTGTTTTCTCATTCATCCTCCCTAAACCGCTCCTGGTCCAGCCAGGGATCACCTGAGATTGATTGGGAGTCGGAGGTGGTTCGCTCTGCAGCTTCCACTGAACGAAGGAAGTTGAGCAACATTCATATGGCCAGGGTGCGCCTGTTAGGTAAAGTTATCCCATCAAAAACTAACACACTCACTGACAGTAACACACTCAATAACAGACACACACAAACTAACACACAACTAACACACTCAGTAACAGACACACACACAAACACACACACACATTAACACACACACTGACACACACACTAACACACATACACACTCACATTTTTTTTTAATTTAATCCCCCAGCCTCCTTACCTTTGAGAGTGCTGAGGGGATTCCAGATTTCGCTGGGGTCCAGTGGGGATGCTGGCGTCCGGTCCTGTTCAATTCCCTCGGGCGCCGCTTACTGATGCCGGAGCCAGAGTGACGTCATATTCTGGCTCCGGCATCACTGTGGTGCGCGCGAGGGAGCTGGGAGGAGAGCACTCAGGGGAGAATGCTCCCTCACGCGCTCGCCTGGTGACACATTGCCAGCCTCGGTTGGTCCTGAGATGGCCATCTCCTGGGCCCCCAATCCCCAAGAGAAGAGGCTGGCAAACTGGCTTACATACCAGGGCGGCCGAGCCCCCTGGTGGGCCGTGCCCGGTCGCAGCTGCGACCCCCTGCAACGGCGGTATGTACACCAGTGTCTAGCACTATTATCTATTACTGGAAGCAGTGTTTCTGCGGATTGCATGAATCATACGCTTCGCAATATCCAATTTAAGATTGTGGATGCTGTTGGCCCACTTTTACTTATGTTTGATAAGGCAGAGAGAAGGATCCTCTCATATCCATTCTCTACCAACTTTATTGGCTTCTAAAATGGCACTCTTGAAAGCTTCCAGCAGAGCTGTGCTTATATTGGACAATCCTTTAATTATATTTCGAACATTTGCAGAACCTATTGGCTGCATGCTTCTGGTATGTCTGATCTGACCCCTAAGTCACACAAGTTTCTTAAATTGGAAGATTCTATTTGGCCCTTCTTTTATACAAGAGGTAGAAGGCTGATTTAAGGCTAGGCGATCTTTCTCTGAATTAAAGAAGGGCTTCCCAGGTTACATGATGCCCTTTCCGACCGAGGATCGCTATTACAGGGCTTCACGATCTTCCCGTGAATCATCTCAACAAGCCCACTTTCGTCATCATGGTGGAAAGTCAAGACCCTCAGGCAGTAGCAGAGGAGCTCATGCCAGAGGTGGTTCATCCAGAAAAAGAAGACCCATGCAGTCAAGTAAGTGGTTTGGATCACATCCCTCAAATTTGGTCAGATATAACCTCAGACTAATGAGTGCTTCAGATTTTCAAAAGAGGTTTACAACTCCCTCTTATTCGGTTTCCATTCCAGAGTCAGGGTCTGGGCAGAGAGGTGAATCCAGTTCTAGAGTCCTCTCTTTCGACTTGGGATGTTGATCTTTTATTAATGTACCTTTATTATTATTATTATTATTATTATTGGTATTTATAAAGCTCCAGCATATTCCATAGTGCTTTACAATATTATCAAAGTGGGAGATTTAACAGTAAATGAGACAATTACAAACACTTACAGGAACAATAGATTGAAGAGGGCCCTGCACAAACGAGTTTACAGTCTATAGGAGGTGGGGCGTAAAACCTAACAGGAAAGGAGGTAGCAATCAAACAAGGTGGAGTGAAGCAGAGCTGGAGGAGAGAATAGAGTGCTGCCCTTTAGGAGAGAGCAAGGGACAGGTATGTGAAGTAAAGGTTACTCTGGGAGGCCTTTAGCTTTCCTAAATAGATGGGTTTTGAGTCACTTTTTAAATTATTGTAGACTAGGGAAGAACTTGATAGGGGATGGTGGGGGATTTTTTCAGAATTTGGGTATCTTTCTATTAAGCTTTTTTTTTCTACTTTGCTAATAATTTGTTTGTTTTTGCAGAATACAACTACCTGCCCAGACAGGATCATCAAGCCATGGACCCTCCTAAATAGATGTTCTGGAGCTTAAAGGACCACTATAGGCACCCAGACAACTTCAGCTCAATGAAGTGGTCTGGGTGCCAGGTCCCTCTAGTTTTAAGAGTAAGTGGTTCTGGTATACCTAGTGTAACACACAGAGGAGAGGAAGTCTGACTAACACTGGGCCGCTCAAACTGGAAACAGATAGGGATTCACTAAAACCTATAGGAAAAAATAGCAAAGGGGACACTAGTGTGCAAATACCAGGAGCTGACCTGTGATATTGGCTCAAATATGGTGGTCTAAAAGGTGAATAGTACAATATGACAACGGCAATGCAGTGCAGGATGGGTATCAAATATATGTACTGTGCCTTTAAAAAATGGAAAAGGGGAATAAGAAATATAAAAGCAAATAGGAAATACTAAGGAATATAAAAGGAAGGAATACAAAGAGATAAAAAGAGTAAGAATAATTTGGGAGATAAAAATGCAACAGATAAAAGCAGAAACGGAAAATGAGAATAAAAAGGAATAAATAGGAATAAAAATGTGCAGCAAGTATGTGTGCAGTGCAAGTGTCTCTATCCCTGATCCAAAGTAGCGTAGCTGATACTTGCTCCAAATTATATACTTTGTATATTACAAAGATAAAATTAAAGTAGAAATATATATAATGTAGCAATACAGTATAGAGGACTGTTTGCTATGGTAATACCAGCAGTGTATCACCTAAGATAGGAAGCAATGGTACAAACTGGATGTAAATTACAAAAAAACAGTTAATTGAACAAAATGTTAAAAATATATATCAGGAATAGTTCATACAGATGTTACCAGTCTTATGAAAGTCTGAAGTGTGCAAGGACCTTTGGATTTGGCTAGGATTGATGTGGACTGTATTGACAAGCTGCCGCTTGGGATTAGACCGCCAGTGAGGATGGCGTGATTCTGGGTGTGTGTCCCGACAAAGATCTCACTCCGGGGGACGTGCACTGCAGACGGTTCTGTTTCGCAAGTGTACCAAGGGTCCTGAACGGATACAAACTTCTGCTGGCGTATGCTTTGCTGAATCTGTGTCCCTCTAGTTTTAACCCTGCAGCTGAAAACATGCTGCACATTCGGATCGGACGTCGGCAGGGGGAGGAGAGGTCATCAGCGCCGAGGGAGCCCGGCGCTGGAGAAAGGTAAGTGGCTGAAGGGGTTTTAACCTCTTCAGCCCAGCGGGAGCAGGGCCCTGAGGGTGGAACCTAATGACCCTATAGTGCAAGGAAAACGGGTTTGTTTATAAATTTATAAAATGGGCCTGTATAAAACGGGCAAAACAGAAGCCTTGGGAGGTTGTTTAAAGGAACACTCCAAGCACCATAACCACTACAGTGTTATGTAGTGGTTATGGTGCAAAGAATACCTTTCCCATGTTGAAATAAGCCCTTCAGTGCAGAGTTGACCCATTGGTCTAGACCAGCAGTTCCCAAACTGTGTGCCGGGCGCCCCAGGACGTGCACACAGGGGAGCCACAAGTTATTTTCCCGGTGCTATGATTATACCCCCCCATACACACACAATTAACCCCCCATACACACGCTACCCCCATACACACACACACTGCCCCCATACACACAATTACCACGCCATACACACACTACCCCGCATAAACAAACACTGCCCCAATACACATAATTAACCCCCATATAAACACACTTCCCCCCCATACACACACACACACACCGTACCCCTTACACCACCTGCCCCCCTCACTCACATACTGTACTCCTCATGCACAAACTGCCCCACATACACACACACACACAAACTACATCCTTCACAAACATAATACACCCCTGTACACACACACTGCATCCCTTATACACACACGCACACTGCACTTTTGTACACACACACATGCACACTGCACCCCTGTACACAAACGCACATTGCACCCCCCCCCCCACACACACTACAGCCCCTATCCCAGCAGACCCCAGGTAAGTTGTCAAACTGTTCAGTTTGACTACTTACCCTGGGAGGGCACTATGGCACTACTGGCACCATAACCACTACAACGTAATGTAGTGGTTATTGTACCTGGATTGTTTCTTTACATAATCTACCAGTGCCACTCCCAAGATTAGGGGTCCAGTATATGCTGCAGCGCTGTACATATATACAACCTAGAAAATTGTTTTGACTTGGTGTGCCTTGGAAAAATATTGATATACTAGGGGCACCTTGAACCTAAAAGGTTTGGGAACCACTGGTCTAGACCATTAGCTGAGTTTACTTAGCCAATGAGCTAAGCCCTGCACTATTGGGATAGTTCAATGAAGTGTAGGATTTGGTGACAGATGCCCACCAGACCCCAGACTACTTACCCTGTCAGGACACCAAGACATTCCTGGCACTATAACCACTACAGTGCTCTTATGGTGCTTGGAGTATTCTATTAAATGCTTAGAAAGTTACATTTGTATCTGTGCAATGATACGTTTCCTTTATTTCTAGAGTACAAATTCAACAAATTCTAGAAGTAAAAATTGTATGTTTTGCTGTCCTCATCTCTCCAGGTCAAGGATCACAGGAATCTACCTACAATGGCTGGAGATATAACTTTTGGCCATCCACTCCCTAATATTACCCCAAATATTCTGAATTTCCTCCTTTTTCAACCGATATTCTGTATGATCACAGATGAGTTTATTTAAGATGTTGAATAAAAGGATATAATGGTTATCATGTTGGTGCATCCACCATAAGTTGTTTTGAACACTGCTATGTTGTTTTTGCTTGCCATGTGAGGTTTTTTTTTGTTTGTTGTTTTTTTTAACATAACTGTTCCTATGCTAACACTTATCTGCTTGTACAAGTTGTTTTGAAACATCATGCAACAGTGTTGTCACAGGAGTTTGACAGTTTGTGTAAGGCTATTCTGAAGCCTGATAGTACGGTTTCTGATAGCCTCTGATTAAAAAGAGATACTCTAAGCAACATAGCTGCTCATGCACCTTGCATTGCATATGATACATGGAGCTCCTTTTCGGACTCCCTTCAAATTATTAGCTATGGCTCAGCAACTTTTATACATTGCTTCAGTAATATGTATTTTGCAAAGCTTTCTTCTTATCCTCATACCTATGTAAGAAAATCCATATTCTGTATACTCAAGGCATGCACTTCCCATGTCAGTTCACTAAATGACTTCTGTGTACAGAGCTGAAGATTGCCAGGATACATCATGACATCATATCTCGAGAGCCAACACTCTCTGCAGACAAACAGTGCAGGCAGCAGGCTAGGGGCAGGCTTTGGCAGCTCTAGTAAGAGCTTGAATGGGTGCCACTGTGTGTGCGACTATGTGTTTATCAGACTGTATCTGTGTGTATGGGTCACTGTTGTGTCAATGTTTGTATGGACCCTTGTGTGTTTTAAATTGTGTGTATATGCTGTGTGACAATGTCTGTGTGTGTATGAGTCACTGT